CGCCCGCATGGGAGGTCCGTCCGCCTCTGCCTGTGCCCGCAGCGCCCTTTCCCTCCAGGCTCTGTTCCAGGGGACGGTGGTCAGGGTCTGGAACCGCAGCCTTGGGCTGTCCCTGAGTCCCTCCCGACATGAGACCAAAATATGGGGCTCCCCAAGGGAACCGCCTCCACGGGAAGCCCGGGGAGACCTCGCCCTGGCCCCTCCGCAGTCTCAGGGGGTTGGGTCACTATCAGAGCGCCCTGGGCCCGCGGTCGCCGACCTTTCCGACCTCACGGGCCACCGGACCACAGGTTGGCGTGCTGAGCTGGAGGCCGCGCCGGCACCCGTCGCCCATCGCCCTGGGGTGACTGAGCACAATGGCATCTCTTCCCGCCACCTTTCCAGTGGCAGTGGGCTCAGGCCAGGCCCGGCCTGGCCAGCCGGTTCCCACAGGAGCGTGTGGAGGGGGTGGGCCCTCGGGAGCGGAGTGACAGCCTGTGACCGGGCTGTCTGGTGGGCGGGTGGGCACTGTCCTTCCCGCAGGCTGCCCCGAGCTGTGGCCTCTCGGAGTTTCCACAAATAGTAAGTGCGAGACCTCCCCACTCCCAGACCCGGACTTCATATAAGTAGAACCAAATGGTATCTGCTCACTTTGTGTAAGAATGGTTTTATTTGTTCCTTACATGTTTGATAGAATTCATTAGAGAAGTCACGTGGGCCTTACCCTGTTTCCCCGAAGATAAGACAGTGTCTTATATTAATTTTTGCTCCCAAAGATGCACTAGGTCTTATTTTCAGGGGATGTCTTATTTTTCCATGAAGAAGAATACGGTACACATTTATTGTTAAATGAAAATAAAGGAAATTTATTACCTGTATACGGTACGGTAGTTGTCAACACAAACCAGACAAACTGAGAATCCTACAGTATCAATAATTTACTCATTTATTCAATGACAATCATGTCATCATCTTCTGGAGCATCATCATAGCAATCCAATTCCTGGATTTCCTGGCGAATTTCTTGTGACTCCATTTCTTTCAGAATCAGTGGACCAAAACTCTCATGTTTAGCCTTGCGGGGGGAGGGGGGGGCGGCTTATTTTCAGGGGATGCCAAATATTTCACTCAGAAGGAAACCTGTAAGTAGGTCTTATTTTCGGAGGATGACTTATTTTTGGGGAAACACTGTAAGTTTTCTGTGTGGGAAGGTTCTTGTTTGAATATTCTATTTTTTTTTTTACTAGATGCAGTGCTGTTCAAATTTTCTATTGCTTCTTCTGTCCATGACAACTTTTAAGAAACCCTGTTTTGCCCTAACTGGTTTGACTCAGTGGATAGAGCATCAGCCTGCGGACTCAAGGGTCCCCGGTAGGAGTCTGGTCAAGGGCACGTGCCTTGGCAGCTGATTGATGTTTCTCCTCATAGATATTTCTATCTCCCCCTCTCCCTTCTGCTCTGTAAAAAAAACAATGAAATATATATTTTTTTTAAAAGAAAAAGAAAGAACCCTGATTGGTTCCAAAGAAACCTGAAAAATGGGAAACAACTACTCAATAGATGAACCTTCAAGCTCTTATACAGCTTCCTCGTCTGAACTAGAAGCTGAAGCACAAGGCACACGTGCGCACACACGTCTGGTTTTGTTCAGAGCCACCACGTGGGCGTTAAACACTGGTGTGGCGCAGAGCGGGGGCAGAGTGCAGGCTGGAGGAAGGTGAGCAGGGACCGGGCCTGCAGCAGGGCGTTTTGGGACAGGCCGCGTGCGCGTGTGGCAGGTGCGCTGGGGCAGGACGCTGCCCGTCCCTGGGCTCCGCGGGCAGAGGGAGCGGGTGGGGAGGGCTCTACCGTCTTCAGGGACGGAGGCGCGGGGCCTGGGCGGCGGCGGGGCGGCAGGAACCTCTGGGCACTCAGCACCCAGGGGGCGAAGACATTGCTCCCCTGGGCCTCGCTCCCCAGGACGCCAGTGCAGCCGCCGCTCAGCACGGGCCCGGGTGTGCAGGCTCTCATGACCTCCTGCCGTTCCCCTCCCATCCCATTCACACTGTGCTTTCCCGGAGGCCAAAGCTGATGGGCGCTTGGCTCGGAATTCCTCTCGAGTGCCTGCGTGGCACCTGTCGGCCTGCGCTGGTTGTTCGGTATTTTGCATTAGACTTTCGGGGACGTACTCCCTCCCTGAGGCAGCCCCCAGCCCTGCCGCTGGCGCCTGGACAGTCCAAGGCCCTTTCTCAGCGCCCCGGTTATGGAATTGGTAGGTGTTGAGTGGTCTATCCTAACCCCACACGTCCTGATATTCACGTGCAGTTTTAGAGAATATGAGGTTTTCTAAGAACACACGATGCTTCAAAGAGAAGTGTTGTGGTAGAGAGGAATGCCGCGTGTGAGCTGGACAGAACATGAAGCCCCGCATCAACAGCCTCGGCGGCCACAGCTCCGTGCGCCGCCCGCAGTGTGTGAGCCGAGGGGTGGCCGGTCCCGGCGGCGGAGCGGGAGGCCCTGCCCCGAAGTAGGTCGGCACCCGCGCCCTCTGACTGTGCGGCCTCAGTGTCCGCTGTCCCTCTGGTGAGTCCCCCCCTGACTGTTCTCTCTGGCTAACGAGCTCCTCCCTGGAGCGGGCATCCCTGTGCGCTGTGCCCAGCAGCGGGCTCTCACAGAACGCCCTTTGGCGGGGCCGGAACGGGCCTGCCTGTGAGGAATAATAAGGCTGCCCACGCTGCCTTCACTTGCACCTGGGACCATGTCTGCTTCCTGCCGGCACTGCTGTGCTCAGTGCCCCCACGGGAGAGCGTTGGCTGGCAGGGGCAGCTGCAGGAAGGCGGGCCCACCTTTCAGGAATGCTTGGGACACACACACACACACACACACAAATGCACACACACGCGTGTTCTGAAAGCCGGGCACCAGGAGCAAGGCGTGGGGCCGGGAGGGAGGGGAACGGCAGGAGGTCATGAGAGCCTGCACACCCTGCCAGAGATGGAGGGCCCCCCTTCCAGCATCCTGCCCAGGGCAGGGACGCCTGCTGCTTCCCACAGCATGGCTGACCGCCTTGCACTGTGCCAGGCAGGGCCTTGGCACTGTTCCGCACCATGGAGCTGGCGCTCTGATGCTGACGTATTGTTTTTGGAGCGCCCCCCCCCCCCATCTAGGTGTGTCCTCCAACAGAATAGCGAGTCTCTTTGTTGTCTTTAAAATTTTTTATTTAAATTTAGAGGGAGAGAGAGATAGAAACATCAATCAGCTGCCTCCTGCACATCCCAGTGGGGGAATCAAGCCCACAATCCAGCCATGTGCCCCAACCGTGTCAAACCATAACCTTCTGGTTCAAAGGTTGACACCCAACCACTGAGCCATGCAGGCAGGGCTCTCTGTCGCCATTTAAGGACTGTCCACTGAAGTAGCAGACGCCTGTTCCTGTGAGCGCAGTTCCCAGCGGCCGCTCCAGACGGGGCTCCAGGGACCTGCAGGCAGCGTGGGCAGAAGGGAGCTGCTGCCCTGCGCTGGGTCAGGCAGGGCGGAGCTGGGTTTGAGAGGAGCTGTAAATGGCTCCTTTTGGCAAAATCCGAGTCAGATCAGACTGGGTTTGTGTCCTGACTGCAGTGTAGGGCCACCAGGCCAATAATTTAGCCTCGGTGAGCCTGTTTTCACATCTATAAACTGGGATCGTGGTTTTGATCTCAGGAGACATGGTCTGAGCCAGAAGCTTAGTGCCCGGGCAGTAGACCTTCTGGGCAAAGACCTGCAGTTGTGGTCTCTAAAACTTGGCATTTGATCATGTGATTCAAAGGCTGCTAGAATGGGAAACTATCTGCCAGTGAGGAAAAAATGAACTTGTTTTCATTGTCAATCAGACTGGCAGAGGAGTGGTTAGGGGGTGATCAGGCTGGCAGGCAGAAGTGGTTAGGGGCAATCAGGCAGGCAGGCGAGCAGTTGGGAGCCAGCAGTCCTGGATTGTGAGAAGGATGTCATTCCCCCGAGGGGTCCCAGATTGGAGAGGGTGCAGGTTGGGCTGAGGGGACCACCTCCCGCCCCAAGTGCACCAATTTCGTGCACCAGGCCTCTAGTATTAATACAAAGGTACGAGGCCCTAGTTCCTCAGGGGTTGGCATTCTAATGGAGAGGCCAAATGTAACAGATAAAATAAGTTCTATAACTGGTGTGTGTATGAGACCAGAGTGGAACTGGCCATCACTACCTGAGAAGTGATTAAAAAATATCAGATAAAACATGTGTTCTTGTATCAGAACACGTTTTATCTGATATTGAGAGCAGCCTGAGCCAGATGAGCCCCTGATGAGGAATGACAGGCACTGGGTATGTGGCTGAGGCCTGGGGGGCTCTGTGAGTATACTGAAAAGTATACAGGCAAAGAAAATGGGGCATTTTCCATAGCCAAGTCTTAAGGTAATGTGTATCTAACTTTCCAAATTTCCTTCCCAGAAGTTAAGGAAATATATTTCACTTACTCAATACATTACATTGAATGCATACTTATGGAGCAGTTATTAATGGCTAAATGTATAGCTTTGCTATAAGCCACATATGGACTACTTTATAGCAAAATATCTAAAATGTACATTCTGATTTCTAGTGATTTTTAAGTAAGATTTAATGGTTTAAACTTACTTAAAAGTTAGTATTTGATATTTCCCTATAAACTTTGCTGCTAGTAGAGATGGGACTTTGCCAGACTCGTGTTCTCCAGGGATGATTCCTGCCCTAGTTTAAGAAAACCTCGAGTATTTGTGAGACCAGGATTCTTGGCCAGAGCTGCAGGTAGTGCTGACTCCCGGGCCAACCTTCACTGCTCCAGCCTTCTGTTCAGGTGTCACCTGTCACCTAAGCGTCCCTTATTGAACTTGTTTGTGCCTTTAGTGCTGAGAGTGCTTGGCCATGGTGCCCTCTGAGGGTGAACCTCAGCGGCATTAGCAGTCAGGCCATGGAACAATAGCAGAGGTGGGATTCTGGACTTCGGTTGCAGAGAACTATAAAATGACAGTAACACATGATGTTCTTTTGAACAGATATAAGAGTTTGGTCACTGGAAGCCGAGTGAGAAGAGTCATTGCTGTCCTCTGGGTGCTTGCCTTTGGCATTGGACTGACCCCTTTCCTGGGCTGGAACAGTAAAGACAGTGCCACCAACTGCACGGAGCCCAGGGATGGAACCATGAATGAAAGCTGCTGCCTTGTGAAGTGTCTTTTTGAGAATGTGGTCCCCATGAGCTACATGGTATATTTCAACTTCTTCGGGTGTGTCCTGCCCCCCCTGCTCATCATGCTGGTGATCTACATCAAGATCTTCATGGTGGCCTGCAAGCAGCTGCAGCGTACCGAGCTGATGGACCACTCAAGGACCATCCTCCAGCGAGAGATTCACGCCGCTAAGTCCCTGGCCATGATCGTGGGAATTTTTGCTTTGTGCTGGCTACCAGTGCATGCCATCAACTGTGTCACCCTTTTTCAGCCAGCTCATGCTAAGAATAAGCCCAAGTGGGCAATGAATATGGCTATTCTCCTGTCACATGCCAACTCAGCTGTCAATCCCATTGTTTATGCCTACAGGAACCAAGACTTCCGCTACACTTTCCACAGACTCATCTCCAGGTATGTTCTCTGCCAGACAGATGTCTTTAAGAGTGGGAATGGGCAGGCGGGGGCACAGCCTGCTCTCAACATGGGCCTGTGACCTGGACTCTGTCCTCTTCAAAAGGCACAAATCCACAATAACCAAAGGGACTGGACATGACTGGATTATCCTCACGTGAAAGATAGGTATGCCTCACAAACATGTAAGTTGCCTCTTTTGAGCATCTCCCTGGAGTTACCACATATCTAACTAATATGTACATGATATTAGTAGGTTCCAAGGGTTGATAAACACATATGGTTCTGTGTGGATGATTTTGACAGCTTGAATGGATTGTAAAATAATGTTTTGTTTTTTTAAAGTCTGCCTTTTTCATGGTAGAAAATGAGTAAAACTATTTTTCTGTGAAACATTGTGAATTATTATAATACAAATATTTTTTAAACTTAGAGGCAATAGAAAAATAAAAGTTGGACATACTAAAAATGTATACTCATTTCTAGGAAGGAGTCCAGGAAAGTTAAAAGTATAATTCTTTGGTCAAGAAACTACTTCATTAATTTTGGGAAATGACACTCTTAAGCAGAACATCATCAGATAACATTTTGAAAGCATTCTTTTCCGTAGATAGCAAACAGCCCTAGAGAAAGAAACTGGAGAAATGGGATCCTTCTTCTATCAGATTCCCTTTCTGAATTTTACTTCTCTACCAACTCCAAGCTTTGCCAACTTGCTAGATCTCATCGTGTGAAATTTTTACTAAGTAAAATTATACAAATAGAAGCTTATATCCACTTGAAGTTTCCCAAGTCGCAGGAAAATCTTCAGTTTACTGCCACACCTCACTGTAACAAAGGCTCGCCCAGCCACAGAACACTGCAACAATGTGGCTTCTCACACAGCATCCACTCACTAGCACCTCATGCTTTGGGGGCATCGGGCTGTAAAATCTTTTCATCTGCTTGTTCACGCTTCAGTGGCTTCTGCAATATCCTGTAAAGACAATGCAGGTTTATAAACCCCTACAGCAAACTCCTGTCCTTCAAGGATCACACTTTGGCTGTGGACAGACAGCTGTGCCTGTAAAGTACTGAATCTGTCTCATTTCCACCCATCATAACTCTCCTGGGGACCAGACAGTCCCACTTCCTCTCTCCTAACACTCTTCTTGGTCTCTCTTTTGCCTTTTCTTCTTCAGATTAGAAATCCATAGCAGTATCCTTAGCTTCCTTCAGGACATGAATTTAGTCCCTTCATCTGGCTTGTTATAAAGCTCAGAAATGCGTGTAGGACAAAACCAATACTTCCGTAGGTCTAGATATTACCATTCTAACAATACAGCCCACTGAAGCTGTTCTGGCATCAGTACCACAGGTACCTGAAGCTCCTGAAACAGAACCCCAGTAAATCTTTTTGTACTTGCTGCTGATTGGCCACATCTCTGTTCTGATCTTTCATTGCTGCAGAATAATTTTCCGAACCCAAGGTAAAGAATGAACACTATTCACCTACATTTCATCCTACTCAGTTTTGTCTAGCATTTCAACCTCTTAAAAATTACTAGTACCTAAGTCTTTACTTAAAAGACATGGTATGATGCTTCATTTAAGTCTAAAATACTTGATTCCATCTAGGAAACTTTGCGCCATGGGGCTGAGAAACTGGTTCAGATTTTTCATGAGGAGACTTGTACAGGCTCCAAACCATACACACACCCTGGGTTCCAACCGCAGTGCCTCCTATAGACCCAAAGAAAAAGGGACAGTAACAGCTTTCTGGATCTGTCTCTTCCCTATGAACCAGAGGTTAAAGGGACTTTTTGTTTGAACTCCTATTTTGAAAGATAACGATAGTCTGTACCTTTTATGCTTCCTGTTTCTTCATCAATAACATGTCGGTCAATTGCTTATCCGAGACACTTAGCTGCTGGCAGTTCCCCATAACCTGACTAAGATAAACTGCCAAGAGATGCTTGCACTGGAATACAAAACACAGACCGGTTAGACACTGGGATGGCCAGGCTAGCCGAGGCCTCTCACTATCATTAGTTGGCAGGAAAGGGGTGGGGCACACAGACTACGCGCCTTTAACGCACTGCTTTAAAAACTGCTAGACGGCTGAGACAGATGTGTTCTTTCTAGAAGTCAGAGGGCACAAAGGAAGCTTTACTCAGCCTGCTGTTGTGGGAAACAGGCTGGCACAGGTATATCACCACAACAGGCTCCTTATCTGAGCCCTAAGTCATGCTTCTTCCTTCCTTACCTTCAGAAGCTGTTAATAGCAACGAGCAGCCTTCTGGAAGCAGTGTTACTGGGTGCTTCAGATGGTTTCATTTAAACCTGACAGCTCTTCCTGAGAACAGTTCTTGTCCCTATTTTAACCATGTGCTCAGAATCTAGTCTACTTCTTTAACCAGTTATATTTCTGGGGGATGAGGTGGGGGTGAAGGGTAAAGATAGGCTGGCAGGACCTCACATATACCCACCTCTGGAGAGATGATCTATGTTGGATCGTATATCACTGAACCCACAATGCAGCTTTAGAAATTGAAGGGGCCCATTTAATCATGACACTTTACAGTGAAATAAGCCTATGGCACATCAGCTATGAATGTAACCTCTCGTACAATGAAACATCCAATTTGCTATCGAGTTCCCAAGATATTTAATGAAGGTTAGTGTAAAACAGCCCTAACTGGTTTGGCTCAGTGAATAGAGCATCACCTGCAGACTCAAGCATCCCAGATTTGATTCTGGACAAGGGCATGTACCTTGCTTGTGGGCACATACCCAGTAGAGAATGTGCAGGAGGCAGCTGATTGAAGAATGGAATGGATGCTATACTTTTCTTCTTTGGCAAGACTTAAAACATACTCTCAGATGAGTGGTGCTTTCTCCTTGGAGTAAAGAGTTGTATGTCTTTTCCTTGCTTAAGGCTCTGGACTCCTGTGAAACAGGCAAAGGCACCAATGTGCTCTCCTGCCTCAGGGGGAAGTCAGGGTGGCTAGTGCCAGGCTGGTTTATGGGCAGTGGGAAGAAACCTCATGGCTGGAGTTGGGACATGGGAAGTTGCCAACTTGGCTCCAGTCTGATTCATACATCCACTGGGTTACCTAATTCCCCAGTCCAGTTTTCAGGGCCAAGCATTCAGGACTGTCTTATCCTCCCCAACACTTCATCTATGACCCTTTCAGTAAAAATCTGGTCATATTTCTAAAAATGACACAGCATTTTGGGAGGTTAAACCCAAGAGAGATGACTAATTGAAATCAAAGATAATAAACAAGTTGTTTCAACATGTAGTAAAATTCCCGCATTGTACAACTTTTAAGCCATGAAGTAAGGGCACCAGTTTCTTTCCTGATTCAGTGGCAGTGGGAGGAGACTGCACCATCCTCACCAGTAGGCTGTCACTCTTCCGGAGCACGGAGAAGGCAAACGCAGGACATGAACAGTAATGACAAGAAGCCAAACATGTGTATGTTTTACCAGAACTTCCAAGTACCTAGAAAGAGAAGGACAGATGGATCAAACTTCGAAAGTGTGCTGAAAACTGCTTCCTTCCCTTGACTTTATTTGATGACTCAGTTACTCTGCAAACTGCACTGGAGGAACTGCAGTTACGTTTGTGGAATCTCAGTTTCCCTGTATGCACACTCTTCCCTCCTTTTCCCTGGAGGCCTGTATGCAATGAAACTGAGGACTTGTGGGCTAGCTGAACCGTCCACACAAAACCACTTTTCCTCTATGTAGCCAACTCCAGAGGATGACTACCAAGGGAGGGGGGCTCTCCTTCATCTACCTCTTATTGGGGTGTTTCTTACTTAACCAATGGTGTTTCACAGCATGTTTGTGAATTTCTAAAGCTTCTACCACAACCTTAAGAAAGTATGATAAGCCCTGGCTGTTGTGGCTCAGTGGATTGAGCATCGGCCTGCAGACTAAAGGGTCCCAGTAAGGGCACGTGCCAGGGTTTTGGGCTCAATCCCCAGTAGGGGGCGTGCAGGAGGCAGCTGATCCATGATTCTCCCTCACCTGATTTTTCTCTCTCTCTCCCCTTCTCTCCCTCCCTCCCTCCCTCCCCCTCCCTCTCCCCCTCTCCCTCTCTCTCTGTCTTCCTCTCTGAAATCAATAAAAATATTTTTTAAAAAGGAGAGTATGAGCCCGAACTGGTTTGGCTCAGTGGATAGAGCGTCAGCCTGCGGACTGAAAGGTCCCGGGTTTGATTCCAGTCAAGGGCATGTTCCTTGGTTGCAGGCACATAGTGGGGGTGTTCAGGAAGCAGCTGATCAATGTTTCTAACACACTCCCTCTTCCTTTCTCTCTATTAAAAAATCAATAAAATTTATTTTTTTTAAAAAAGGAGAGTATGATAATTATTGGGTTTCCAAAGTACTATTACCAATGACTAAAACATTAGATTGCTTCAGCCTTAGTTGTCACCTGTTACCTCTTCTCTCTAGACATAAAGTTCAACATAAACCATTGGAATTCCACATTGACTTGACTGATCCACTATCAGAATACTCTGGATTACACTGAATAAAAGCAGTGAGGCAAAAACGGTTTCAAAAAGTAGTGGGTAAAGGTTTTTGAAAAGCATCTGAGAGCAAAGAAAATAAAGAACTTTGCAAATGGGATGCCTCGCTGCTCAGGATGGAGTCTCCGAAAGAGGCAAGCCCAGACCACCGAGCAGTTTGGAAGGGAAGCACAGAATGGGAGGGGTGGGAAGAGGCCCTGTCCAAAACAGGCAGCCTTGCCTGCAGTCAGGAGACCAAAAGGGAGATGCACAGGGGAACTATGAAGCATCTGTGACCAACTTACTGGAGAAATCACCTGTTTAATCAAGTATCGCAAACAGCCCAGAGAACAAAAACGTGGCGAGCTTCACCTCTCCAGTGAATTTCCAAACTGGAACTGTGAGATCAGCACCCAAGGGAAGTTGAAACATGCTGAGGGTTATTTCACCATGAAGTGCCACTGAGGAATCTGCCACAGGGCTTTAAAATAGTTTTAGGCTCAAGATAGCAATCTAAATGAAAAGGCCAGGACTTTTTGAAAAAGAATGCCAGCCTTCCTAAGATTCTTCCTTCTCCCCACAAAAAATAACACAACAGGTAAGGCTTCTGCCAAAGAACAGCAGTGGTCAAGGGTTGTGCTCTGTCTAGTGATTCATTGTGGCCATGTCACTGCAGTTTTCTGAGCAAATCAGCAGAATTCCTCAGGGATTGCTAGATTCGCCAGAAAGGGCCAATGCCTGGATAAGAAGATACCTACTCTACCATTAAAGATTTCAGCTCCAGTGACAACTTAGGTATTGAAAAAATCACATCCTTTCCCTTGAGGCACTGAGATGTTTTTAACCTATATCACTGAGTGTCAGTGGAAGAATTTCCCTAGTATATCTTGGAAAACTTGAGAGGAAGGGAAAGGGAGATAGAAACATCAATGATGAGAATCATTGATCGGCTGCCTCATGCATGCCCCCAACTGGGGAATGAGCCCACAACTTGGGCATGTGCCCTTAACTGGAATTGAACCCAGGACCCTTCAGTCCTCAAGTCGATGCTCTATCTACTGAGCAACCCCAGCTGGGCCTGTCTTGGAAAGCATTAAAGTAGACTTTTCCCCCCGAAAGAAAACCCATCCATACCCAGCAGCGATATGATAATTCTTGGGTCTGCAAAGTATTACCAATGAATAAATAAATGCCTGGTGATTTACAGAGGGGGGGGGGGGATTCTAGTTTCCCTTGTCTGGTCCTTTCAAAGACTGGCTAAGACTAAAATAAAATGTTTAACCACCTGAGGCAGTAAATACTATAAAGAGACAGCAAATTATGAATTTGCTCCTCCCTTATCTAGCAGTGAACAACTAACGAACCCAATATTCAGGCAGAAATCCGAGTTAGAAATGTGAGGGAGCATCTACTTCCTTTACCTTCAACTCTCCCAGCCCTCCCACTCAGAGTCTGGAACTGACCCCGAGGAGGAGAGAGCTTTAAAAAGAGAAACATGCAGAAGAGGTCACTCAGACCTATGGCTGGACGTGCAGGATGGCCCGTGGAGGAAGTCTGCTCTGGCTTCAGTGAGATTCTAAGAAGGGTGACCCACCTCCGAGGGCCAGCACGCAAGGCTCCAAGCCTCTTAGGATCCACCACAGCGGGAACTGTGTATTTATTGTTCTCCGGGTTTGGGGCTTCTCTCTGAAAGAGGATTATACATTCCTGCCCTATTAAGTACAGCCTGGCTATGTGACCTGCTTCAACCAGTAAACTGAGTAGTCAAGCAGATGCGTCCCACGCCCTCCTTTCCTCTGCTGTGAGGCCCAGGCTACATAGGGAGGGCTTCTCCACCACCTGGGACCTGAGGAAATATGTTAGAGTGGAGCTGCACTGACTCTTAAAGGATCTGCAGCATGAATGACATATAAAACTGTAAGCCCTTGGAATTTGGGGGTCATTGTTAGCACAGCATAACTTAGCCTTTCCTGACATGCATCCCCCTTCCTAGGTGAAACAAGAACATTTATAAAAAAACAACTCAAGTGACCAGAACTTAATGGCCACTTTAGCATAATTATAATTATACCTGGAGGACAGGAAGATATTAGAAGGTTGAACTATGGGAAAATTACTAGCAAGTATCAAGGCAATGTCTGATTCAACTTCTATCATTTCAGTAAGCCAAATTCTTACTATAGTACAATGCAATGAAACCAGTAAGGTTAACTTGAGGGTGTATATAAGATTCAAAGTCCAGGCTGACAGCCATAATTCTAGGAAGTTAGCATTTTCCTGACTAATAAAGCAATCTATCTATATATATAAAAGCCTAACTGACTGTCTGTCTGACCAGTAGCTATGACGCACACTGACCACCAGAGGGCAGACACTCAACACAGGAGCTGCAGAGCTGCGTGACTTGGCAGCTGCAGTCCTTGGGTGGCACACCCGGAACCAAAGAGGAGGGAGCCCAATTCCGGGGTGCAGTTACCCGAGAACTGCCCTCTTGTAACCCAGGATCCCTCGGAGGATGTCAGAGAGCCGGTTTAGGCCCGATCCCACAGGCCAGGCCGAGGGACCCCACCAGTGCACGAATTCGTGCACCCAGTCTCTAGTGTAATACACAGGATGTAAACGACGAAAATTAAATAAGTCATGGTAGTTTTAGGAGAAACAAAAAGTCAACAATAACTGCAATATTTCAAACAAAATCTTTAAGATTTCAGACTGGGCAGTGTGGCTCAAAGGTTGAGTGTCAACCCATGAACCAAGAGATCACCAGTTTGATTCCAGGTCAGGGCACACGCCTTGGTTGTGGGCTTGATTGACTCTCCGTAGGAGGCAGTGCATGTGTTAACTAACTGATGTTTCTCTCTTATCGATGTTTCACTCCATCCCTCTCCATTCATTTCTCTCTAAAACCAATAAAAAATTAAAAAAAAGATTTTAACCAATAACTAGGTTGAAGAACCAGAAGACTCCTAGAAGTCTACTTGGGCAAGTCAACTGTATGCAGCTACTGGAACTGACACACAAAAATCTGAAACTAAAAGTCATGGGAAAAACTCAAAAGATCCTTGGCTATATATATATATATATATATATATATATATATATATATATATAAAAAACCCAGCCGAAACCAGTTTGGCTCAGTAGAGCGTCGGTCTGCAGACTGAAAGGTCCAGGTTCGATTCCAGTCAAGGGCATGTACATTGGTTGCAGGCACATCCCCAGTAGGGGGTGTGGAAGAGGCAGCTAGTCGATGTTTCTCTCTCATCGACGTTTCTAGCTCTCTATCTCTCTCCCTTCCTCCTCTCTGTAAAATATCAATAAAATATATGAAAAAAACAAAAAACAAAAAAACAAAATCAGTGCCCTGAAGGGGAATGGAAACCATGCGGTGTATGGGATGACACTCCATTGGCCATCCAGCCATAGCTAGTACAAAGGTATATTTTGTTTTCCTTTTTCAGTCAGAGGCAGTGGGACAATTGGGACATGAATGATCAGGGCCCAGGTTAAAGAGACGTTTTGAACATTGCTGTTGTGGCTAAGTTCGCTCTGGAGAAAGACTCTGATGTACTGTTTGCTGGTATTCTGAGGAACTGTCGATAATCTGAGATACATGGATAAAGAAAATTCTAGAACTAATATCCATTAGCTACTTCTCTGGGTGGAAGGTGAGGCTTTTGAGACACAACAGTTTGTAGTTATGACATCTTTTACCAAGGAATCACTGATTCACATCTAGTCAGCAGACAAAAATAAATGGTGAACTTGTATAGGTCATATTTTAGAATTAGCTTTATACTTAGTTTTTAAATTGGAAATCAATAGAGATTTCCAAAGGTGACGTGGGATTATTTTTTTAGAGAGTTTTTGTCACAAAAATAAAATAAAAAATCTATCAATTTTGAGTAGCTAGCTAGACTACATTAGTTAAAATGGAACAAAACAGAAACTTCCACCAAAGAACTTTGGAAATCATCGAAATGACTTTGCCTTCTTTGCTCCGATCAATCACTTCAGAGCCCCCTTACACTGAACACATCTTAGCAGTTATTCATCTGGAGCTCTGCTCGTAGGAGTGCTGGCTGGGTGACCTACACTTGGTTAATTTATCATATCACTTGGAAAGGTCCTTATTATTTTACACAGCAGTGTGGTCACTTAGCAATAGATCATTAGCATTTTAGTCTTCTTTTCATCACACACACAAAAATAATAAATAAAATAAAAAACAAGAAAAAAAAAGAAAATATCTTCTCAGTTACAAACATTATTTAGTAGCTTTGATTATTAATCTGTAAGTTCACCAGGAGAAAATTCTAATAGGCAGCCTCTTTTAAGAAAACACAATCCAAAAGTTTTAACCACAACATTCAACACTAATTACCCCCTTTTCCTTAGGAAGAAATGTATGAAGATTTTGCCAGGCCAGCTATGTTATATTATTGTGTGGAACGGCAAGTTAGTAATTCACTAAGCAAAGGCGCCTATTGGCCCAGCAGGTCATTCCCTCACTCAGAATTTTTTTTTTTTTTTTACTCTTGGTGCTGTATATTTTATGGGTTTGAACAAATATATGTCATATATCCATTATTACAGTATCATACAGAGTAGTTTCTTTATATATATATATATATATATATATATATATATATATTTTATTGATTTTTTTTGCCCCTCTCCCTCCCTCCCATATACACCCTCCCTCCCCAGAGTTTTATGTCCATTGGTTGTACTTATATGCATGTACACAAGTCCTTCGGTTGATCTATTATCTCCCCCAGATCTTCCTCCCCTCCCCACTGTAATTTGACAGTCTGCCTGTTGCTTTACTGTCTCTATATCTGTTTCTTGGTTCATCAATTTATAATGTTCTTTATCATCCACAAATGCCTCACTCAGAATTAATTGACATAGTCTCAGCTCTGAGAAGTTAATTACAAATTAACCAGAATACAATCACTGATATATTCCCCCATTCCTGGTCTTCAGTAGGGCCTGAAATCCTCCTATATAATAAAACCCTAATATGCAAATTAACTGACCAGGGAAACAACTAGTTGCTATGATGCATACTGACCACCAGGGGGCAGATGCTCCATGCAGGAGCTGCCCCCAGTTGGGAGGCAGTTCCTTGTTGAGCATCTGCCCCTTGAGAGGGAGGTGATTGACGGTGGTGTCTGGGGGGGGGGGGGGATGCCAGGCCACCAGCCAAAGCAGGGGCCAGTGGGCCCCCCCTGCCCCTCACCCCTGATAGTTCCACTGCCAGTTGCTCCACAGATAGACACTGATCGCTGGCCAGGCCTAGGGACCCTACCCTATATTCAGGCAGTCCTTGGGTTACATCGGAGATCCCTTCCTATGGTTCGATGTGCTATAAGTTGGAACCCACCCACATAAACACCTATATCACTCACATGGAGCACATACACAGCAGTAATGAAGTAAAACAGTAAAAAAATTTAAAATAAAGATAACTTCTGACCTTTACTTGTGGTAAATAAATAATAAAAAATAAAGCACATGTTGAAATGATAGAACTTTTTTTAAGACTGTGAATGGGAGATGGCGACGTAACCATGAAACGACGTGTAAGTCAAGTCCGATGTAAGCTGAGGACTGCCTGTATTGGGAACAGTCTCTTAGATTTAAAAATTAAAACCTGGCAAGGCTGCTCTAACACTGAAAAACAGGTTGATGATGACAGGCATAGACTCTGGCTTGCACCTTTTGTGGTCAGCCCTGATTCTGACACTTGTAACTGTGTGACAAAGCCAATTACTTAACTTCTCTCTGCTTCAGATTTTCCACCCATAAGACGGGGAAAATGGTCCTACTGCCTCAGAAGGTTCATGTTATGTACTACTTTTTATAATCAGGGCAAAAGAATGTAGCTGCCCACACAGCAGCAAGATGCCTTTCACCTGTGTGAAAAGTATGGTCAGTGGTGCATGCAGCGTCCCGGATTGTGAGAGGGATGTCCGACGGCCGATATAGGCCAGAAGGCCAGGACTAAACCAGAAGTTGGACATCCCCTGAGGGCACAGGCCAACCTGAGGGTACCTCCTTCCTCCCAGCTCCATGCACAAATTTCATGCACTGGGCCTCTAGTTCATTTATAAGAACTGACAGCTTCTTTATTGCCTTCCAAGTCAGACACAAAATTTTAGAGATCACTGCCAATATTTTCATTTCACTCAGTATTCCCTTCCTTCAATACCAGCTGCACTTACTAGCAGCATTGTCTCATACAGCTAACCTGGGAGACTGGGGGTTGGCTGGAGTCTGGTTCACTCTTTATGTGAAAACAGGCAGTGTGGGACAGCAGTTACAAATCTCAGCTGCCAGCCATGACTATTAGTTTTATTTTCTGCATCTCAGTTTCCTGAAAAAAAATACAGGGTTTTTGATGAGAATTCTCACCACGTGAAAGTAACTCAGAGCCTGGTAAGAGGTTGTTACTTTAGAAATCTACCTGTGTTAAAGTCTAGAGGCAAAACTAAAGTCCAAGTAGATTGTCTGCATTTAGTGGTTTGACCCTTAATAAACATTTCCTGAAAACGTTTAAAAGATCATTTCTGATGAATTCGAGCATGTGGAAGGACCTCAAAATGCATTTTGGATCTTGCTTATAAGCAAGAGATTATGAACAAAGAGAAGATGTTAATACATGTGAGGGGGAAAAGCAGAAATCAAATATACTCCACTGGATCTGAGAAGAGTCCCTCCACATCATTGCTGGTTCTATACATTGCTATTAGTAGGGTTAATAGGGTTAGTAGGGTTAGTAGGTCATACTTATCTTACTTTAATGACTAAAACACTAATTTTACGTACTAAGTTTGGTCAAATGATTTTCAACAGTGTAGGAAATACCTAAAGCTGGTCACCAGCTTCCATAGAGATTCTTGAAAATACTTTGTCCTAAGTATTTCTGTTGAGATAACCCCACCTCGAGATTTCTACCTGGTACACATGCCTCCCACTGGGCGATGAGATTAAAGTGACGGACTGCCGATCAACTAGGTCCAAGGCCTGGAGGGCTGATGAGCCAAAGACAAACTTCAGCCTGGGAAACAGAGAGGTTTCAGGTTAGACTGTGACTCTAAAACTTACCTCAGTAACTTGCCCAAAGGATCACTTGCAGCATTCAAAAAAATTTAATTCATTTTAGCTTGGAAAAAAAGATAATATAGCAAAATCCATGTAATCAATCCCCTAGAATAAATGTTAACATGATATTTACAAACGGAGAAGCCCTCTTTATGCTGTATAGTGCTTCCTATTCTTCTTCCCAACTTCCCTTCATTCCTGAGACAATCATAAACTTTTGTGGTTTCTTTCCTATTAATGTTTTTATATTTTATTATGTACAATGTGTATGTATCTTTATATATACACAAACAAATATGGTATATGTGGTACCGTTTTATAAGTTAAAACAAAAGTTTTGTTTTATAAGTAAAAACAAAACACTGTAGGCTTTTTGGGAACTTTTTTCCTACTCAACATACTTTTGAAAAATGATGCAAGCTGCCCTGGCCAGTGTTGTTCAATGGTTAGAAGGTTGGCCCACACACTGAAAGGTCTCGGGTCCGATTCCTGGTCAATGGCATGTACCTGGGTTGCAGCATGTGCCAGAGACAACCAATTGATGTGTCTCTCTTTCACATCAATGTTTTTTTTTTCTCTTTGTCCCTCTCCCCTGTCCCTTACAAAAATATCTTTGGGTGAGGATTAACAAAAACAAAAACAAAAAAGAAGAAAAAAATTTTAATTACCCATTACAAATATATATAAAAATAACATGTAAATACTTTTATTTTATAAGCATCCTATCAATGGACATTCTGATTCCTATCATTTTATTTTATTTTTTAAAATATATTTTTATTGATTTTTTACAGAGAGGAAGGGGGAGAGATAGAGAGCTAGAAACGTCTATGAGAGAGAAGCACCGACCAGCTGCCTCTTGCACACCCCCTACTGGGGATGTGCCCGCAACCAAAGTACATGCCTCTGACCGGAATCGAACGTGGGACCTTCCAGTCCGCAGACCGACGCTCTACCACTGAGCCAAACAGGTTTCGGCTGATTCCTACCATTTTAGACTATTATAAATAATACTCATTTTTCCCTGTGCCTGTCCCTTACTGTACATAAATGAGATTTTTCCAAAGAGTATATAAGTAAAAGCAAATTGCTAGGTCTTAGAATATATGCATTTTTCAATTTTAATAGGTGTTGCCAATAGCCTTCCATAGTGGAAATAGCAAGTGAGCCACACTGGCCAGGGCTCTTGTGGACTTTTAGGTATAAGTGCACAAATGCAATTAAATATTATTTATTTTTAGGTAGCTTTCACTTTTTTTGTTGCTATTGAGAGTCTATATTTTTGAACTTCACTTTTTTTCTTGGTTTTTAAAAAAGTAAATTTTATCATCTACAAATAATATTGTCTTTGCTTGCAGATATTCTAATGTAACAGCTATCGATACATTTCTAAACAATCATAAACACAAGTGTTGTACAGGACAATATGGGAATGCCTTGTACAATCAAGTATGGTTTTGGCTATTCACTTAAAATGGGTTTGTAATAATCATGTCAAAAATATTGTTCCTAGTTTGTTTTTTAGATTTAAAAAAAGAGAAATTATTTTTGTTTTTTTTAAGAAATGATTTGGCTTTTAAAATACATTAATGACTAAAAACTCCCACACATAATAAGATATATACTTACAATAATAGATGCTCATCAGGAACTGTAAAACAGGGATGGAAAGTTAATCATATTGAACCATTGACCACAAATATAAAATTGAGCTTATGTATCTAATTTTACTCCATCCCAATGTTCCACTAAACAATAAGACTTTGAAAAGCATAAACTAAAACTAAAAAAAAAAAAAAAAAAAAAAGCATAAACTCACTAGGATAATGACAGGGAGAAATCATATCTAAGAAAGAAAAAGAACTTTTTTGGTCATGTAAAATCTCAGAGTACGTCTCGCGTACTTTTCCTTCAGGAAGTTGCTCCAGTTTGGGTTCTACACTAGCAAAATGAAGTAGCAGCCGAAGAAAACGAAAACTAGGAATGTAAGGTTCACATCAGAAATGGGAATTCCCGGACAATAGCGAAGGGAGCTCTGGGAGACAGGGGAGAGCGGCCAGTCCGTATGGGGCCAGTCAGGAGCTTTCGGACAGCCTTCCACAGGAAAAGGCAACTGATACAGCATCTTTCGCCTGAGCTCCGTGAGGACAGGCCGAGAACACTGATGATGAGCTTGAGTTTTCTATGCGGGATAAACATGCAGACCATCAAAGCAGCAAATGTACACACAACAGCTGTAACTGCAGGAAAATGAGAATTACCCAGGAACGGAAAAGGAATCCTAGCTTCCTACAAAAGCCAGCCAAGTGAGTGGGCAGAGGCGGTTTTGGGAACGAATCTGCTTTCTTCAGTGCCATGCTCGCTTTGGCGGAGAAGCTCCCATCAGTTCGGTCCAGACGGAAGCCGAGCCGCCGGCGGCCCGGGAGCGCGGCCAGAGCGCCCCCTGCGGGTCCGCGGGGAGAAAGGTACTCGCACAACATCCGCATTCACTCCCGTCTCTGCCTATGCATCTGGGTTCTGTGGCCTCACAATACTTATTTGCTGAATGAAGTATAGGGAAATATTAAAGCTGACAGATGTTGAGAAAGAGGAGTGCCGGCACGTTTAATGACCTAAGCTTTTGCCTTCCTCTGGGCTGCGGGCTCGGGAGCCCCCCGCCCCGCCCCGCTGCTCCCGTCCCCGCGGCGCAAGGCCCCCCGGCCGCCCCCGCCCGCCCGCGGCGCCGCGCCCCGGCCCGCACCGCGCGCGCTCTCCCGCACCGCCGCCGCCATCTCGCTCAGGAGCTCCTCCGCCACGGCCGGCAGCGTGGCCGCCGGCGAGGCCCCGGCCATGGGCCCGCGGGCGTGGCCCTCCGAAGGCGGCGGAGCCTCGCGGGGCGGGCCTGTGGAGGGAGCCCGGCTGCGGCCGCGGGCGGGCGCCGCGCGGCGCAGTGACGTCCACTCGCGTCATCGCGCATGCGGACGGCGCGGCTGACGCCAGCCGCTACGTCACGGCCCTGCTCTCCGAACGCGCCGGGCGCTGCGGGCGGTGGCGGCCGGCCTGACGCGCGCGGAGGTCGCGGCGCGGGCATGTTCCGGCTCCTGCGCGCCGGCCTGGGCCGCGCCCTCCTGCGGGCCGCGGGGCGGCGGGGCCGGGGCTGCTGGGCGCCCCTGCCCTCGGGGCCGGCGGGAGGCCGGGCTCCGGCGGGGCGGCTGCCGCCGGCCCCAGGCGCTCCGCGGGGCGGGGGCCCGGGCCCGCTGCCGCTGCTGGCAGGTGAGCGCGCTGGCGGGCGCGGGGGCGGGCGCGCGGGGGGCGGGCGCGCGGGCGGGCGCGCGGGGGGCGGGCGCGCGGGGGGCGGGCGCGCGGGGGGCGGGCGCGCGGGGGGCGGGCGCGCGGGGGGCGGGCGCGCGGGGGGCGGGCGCGCGGGGGGCGGGCGCGCGGGGGGGGCGCGAGGGGCTCGGGGGGCGCGGGGCGGGCGCCGCTGACCGGAGCCCCTCCCCGCAGCGCTGGCGTGGTTCTCGGGGTCCGCCGCGGCCGAGGAGCCGGGAGCGGGCGGCGCCGCCGGGGACGCGGAGGAGGACGAGGCGGAGGCTGAGATCATCCGGCTGCTGAAGCGAGCCAAGGTGAGGCGGCCCGGGGCGGAGCCGGAGCCGGAGCCGGGATGGAGGTTGCGAGGCCGGGATTGGATGGTCCGGGCGAAGGGAAGGGCGGCGTGGAGCCCGCCCAGGCCCCTCGGACCCAGGCCCGTCAGCCGAACCGCCAGGCCCAGTGCAGGTGGAGGGCCCGGGCGAGGTGCCGGAGAGGAATCAGCGGGCACGTTTGGAGTTTGTCAGCGAACCGGCCAGGCTGGCAGGACGGCAGGTTTCACGTGCAGAAGAGCGGCCTGACAGTGAAATGCGGTGGCGCCTCTGAGCAGGCCGGTTTTTCCCCTAAACTCTCCCTTCTCACCACTTTCTATTTTCTCTTCCCCCGGTTATCTTTCTTCTGGGGGGTAACTACCGCCTTGATGCCAACAATGTCCAGATTTGTATTTCCATGGCGCAGGGTGCCATCCACTGCCCTCCACATGGAGGCTCTGCCTACCTCTCAGACTAACTGGCCCCCAACTGAACTCCTGAATTTAAATTCCTCCCAACACATTTCCTTCACCATCTTCTGTTTTAGCTTGAAAACCCCAGTTATTCTTAAAACTTGAGGTATGTTATCATCACCTCCCAATACACTTACAGTCCAGCAACAATTCCTGTTGCCAACAACAACAAATCAGCCCCTTTGCCGCCTCTGCTGTCGCCTGAGCCATCCCGTGCAGCCTGTCCTATTGCCCTGCACTCCATTCTCATGCCGCAGCCAGTCATTTCTTTAAGAAAGTAAATCGGATCATATCACCTTCTTGCCTAAAAACTTCGAATGACTTCCCACTGCCACCCGAGGATATGTTTTCTTATAGGTTTGAGAGGGGGAGAGAGAGTTGCCTCCCATTCTCGACCCAATGGGTTTGAACCCACAACCTTTTTGGCATACAGGATGACACTCCAACCAACTGAGCCACCTGGCTGGGGCTTTTCACTGCATTTATGATTAAATTTCAAATTTCTTGCCATGGCCTGCAAGATCTTACCTTGCCCACCCATTTACAATAATCCTCTGTTTCACCATCTTCCTTTCATATCTCTTTTCATTTCTTGAATGGTTTGTAAAGAACGGCTCTCTTCTGTCTGTAGGGCCTTGACTCATTCTTTACTCTCTGTTTGGGTCATTGTTCCCCAGTTTCTTACTTAGATGATTCTTTCTCCTTCTTCTGTTTAACTATCACTTACTTGGAAAGTTCTGGCTCCTGTGTAAAGGACACCCTTACTGTTCTCTCCGTTAATGATTTTTGTCATAGGTCTTATTGTCAGTTGTAATTAAGCTTACTTGTTCAGGGATAGGGCAAGGAGCTTTCTTTTTCTGTGAGTAAAGATTGCTCACATTCCTGCTCTCTGCATCTGTAGGCCAAAATTTGTCATATAGCCACACATTGTCAACATAGTGCCTGGTGCATTCAGTGACTATCTGATGAATGAATGACTTCCTTCTATGTGTTGGGATGTATAGCCATATCCTTTTCTGTCTGGTAACACATGCATCTGTTTTCTTCACATTTCATTTTCATGTCTTTATCTTTTCAGTTGAGCATCATGAAAGATGAGCCAGAAGAGGCTGAGCTAATTTTGCATGAGGCACTTCGTCTTGCCATTCAGAGTAATAAGAAGAAGGCCATCATTTACACTTATGATTTGGTAACTAATCTCAGCCACTGATGAAGGGTGGACGCAAGAGAAGGGATGTTAGCACTACTGATTTATATTCCTGACCTTCAGGACTATAAAGCTCTTGGTTTTTGTCTTACTAAGTTTTATTTTTTCCCCTAATTTTTATTATCCTTGGGGTGTCACTTTTAAGAAGTTTCAATCCCAAACCCAAAAGAAACAAATATTAACATTTGTTTTTTTAGGATGAGTGAATTTAAATTTGGTTTGACATCCACAAAGCATATGCAAGTATTTAGTCTCATTGCTGTACTTTGCTTCTGGTAGATTAGTGACATATTTTTTTCTCTGAACAATTTTTTAATTAGAGGATGAAAGCAAAAAGGAATCATTAGCTTAAAAGTTTTGAAATAAGTAGGAACATGGTGCTCTAAACTAAAAAACAACTTATAATTTACTTTCAGATGGCCAACTTAGCATTTATTCGGGGTCAGCTTGAAAATGTAAGTAAATCACTTTGTAATATCTTGAATTTGTGAAGAATTGGCTTCAAGGGAACACTGTTAGTAAGGGTACAGGCTAAGCCACTGTAACAAAGTAGAGAGATTCAGACAAGAAAGAGGTGTATTTCTAGTGCATTAGACCAAAGATAGTTAATCACCGAAAGGGGCACTTTGGACCTTTGTTCCATGAAGTGGTCTAGAAGCCCAGGTTTCTCTTAGCCAGGTCCTCAGCTGCATAGATGAGCTGGCTCACCGCCAGCGTGCAGGAAACAAAGAGGAGAGGATGGAGGGCAAGCAACTTACTTAGAAAATATGAGTTAAAAATTGTTCACATTTCTTTCTGCCTGCATCTTTTGACCAAAACTTTATCATACCTAATTGCAAAGGAGACTGACCTATGAAAAATTGAGATTCTGAAACTGAAAAGATGGAGAGGAGAGTGAATAGTAGGGCATAGGTTTCAGTTTCTGCCACAGTGGCTTGGGATTAGAAGGTAACTTCTAAAGTTTTTAAAGTGCCCAGAGCATGTGGGGTCCAGATTTTTAGTCTGTTTTCCATCACAAGGATACCTTTCTCTGTGTATCTGAATGTGTGTGCGTATTGTGTTTTATGAGGAATGATGCATCAGACTAGCACTTAGAACCCAGGGTCATCTAGATAGTGGACCCAGATAAAACAAAAATCTTTTCCTTATGCTTTTAGGCAGAAAAACTTTTTAAAGCAACAATGGGTTACCTGCTTGGAGGAGGCATGCAACAGGTAAGGATATTGCCTAGGATTGGGCCCTAGTTGAAGCTGGTTTCAAAATAGTCTTGCTTCCTGAAAATACCCAGCTCCCAACTTGTATAAAAACTGCCACTCTCACTCATGCATAAACATGTAGCTGAGGAATTCACAGGCGCCTAATTCCTCCAAAAGGAAAAAGACTGATTTTCAGGCCCAAGTCAATCTTGAAGTTGATCTAAATAGTCCATGAGGAAGTGTTACTTGTCATGTATTTTCTTTCTCCCAATAGGAAGACAATGCAATAATTGAAATCTCTCTAAAGTTGGCCAGTATCTATGCTGCTCAGAATCGGTAAGTGTAGCCAGACTCTAGGACTGTGGACAGAAAACTGTGATCCCGGAATGGTGTATAGTTTTCATTTACCTACTGGGCCTCCAGATCATCTGGGTCTTCAAAACATTGTGTGTCACATTCAAAGTGTTCTCTTCTTCATCATTGGAATCCTCAGTCTTTCCCAGTGTGGCCCCTGTTGCTTCAGTGACCCTGCTGAGTGGGGAATATAGCCCTCAGCCCTGGCTGCACAGACAAAGCTAATCAAGGGAAGCAACTCGAGTTTAGCTCTTTCTCGAAAAGAAGGAAGCAGTGTAAAAGCTGATAGGGGTAATAAACTTTGAAGAAACCATTTTCTGATATAAGTATCACCCAACCAGGAAGTTAGTTATGAAGTTAAATGAGATAATTGCTATGGAGTCTTAATGGTTAGTTTGGTTGGCAGCATTTTTAAAGCATCCAGAGACGGTCAGGTTTTAGGAAGGGGGAAATGTCTGGGAGTAGAGTAAGTGGGATAGGAAGTCGATGCTAATTTAAAAGTATTAGATGAGTCTCGATCCTTAGAAAGAAGGAAGTGTGCCAGCACAGGAAAGGCTTTAGAAAACCATTTGTATGTGTTAGGAGCTGGTGAGTGAGGGCCGGAGCCTGTTGTTCTCTCTAGGAGGAGTTCAAAGAAGAAATACTTAGGATGTAAGCAAAGAACTGCTCTAGAGAGTTAGATTCTGGGATGAATTTGAGGGAAGACCAAAGACAAGCTTTTCCTTAGATTTCAGTTGCTGCAGAAGTTGGACACTAGAGGTTTGGAATAACATCAAGTCTGGTGCTCATGGAGGCGAGGGGCCCTGGCACTGGTCCCTGCCTGACCCTTGTCATTAGGAACTGCTAGACAAGCAAGCACTTCTGAGGCCTTTGGTTTCCAGTCTTTTGTGGAGCTTTGTGGTGGGTCCATTCCAGGCAGCACTGCAGCTGGGTCTGCCTTGGAGGAGTGTCAGGACTAGGCGCTGATGGGTGTGAACTCTTAGGGTAAGAAGCCCAAAACTAATCACACTGGAAAGTAAGACATTCATGGTCTTTAGAGGTGAAATCTTGTGTAGGAGCCTCTAATAATGAGCTTATAAATTACTCTGTACTCTCCGCAAAAGTGTAGTTTTGTTTTATTTTATTTTATTTTAAAGAGAAGCACGAGACCAGAAAATATACAGTTAGATCCTGAGGCTTAAAGAGATTGACATTAGTTGGAGGGAAGTTATTTCTGGACATTTTACTCTGACTAGGAGCATCTTGTGGCCAGCCACCCCTGCTGCTTAACCTGGCTGGACCCAAACCATGTCAGAAGCTTCCGCAAGTTTGAGTCTGGGGAAGCTTCTGAACTGTGGAATCACCTGTTCTTCCTGCAAAGCACTAGAGGAGCAGGGCTGAGCCTTTTAGTACCACTTCCAGTAAGAAACTAGAGCCAGGACTGAGCTTCCGGACGAGGAGTTTCTGTGCTGTTTCTGTGCATGTCTAGAGAAGCCAGCAGTTGACCCTTGTTCTACTCAGTCTGCTGCTGGGAGGCACCAGGGTAGAGTGAGGCTAACTGCTTCCCCGAGCCACAGCGAGGGCTTCCATTAAATGGGTGACTAGAAAAAAGGAAAGGGCGACTTTTGAGAAATGGCCAATTGACATCCCTCAGAGACTTCAGAATTTCTCTTCCCATCTTACACTTTCTTTATTGATAAAATTTAGACCCCAGCTGGGAAAATGAGATAAGAGAGTGTGTGAAAGGTGAATAGCTGATGCTGATCTTTGCTTTATAGACAGGAATTTGCTCTTGCTGGCTATGAGTTCTGCATTTCCACTCTGGAGGAAAAAATTGAAAGAGAGAAGGAATTAGCAGAAGACGTTTTGTCAGGTAGGGGAATCTGACTTTTCTGACATTGCGCAGAGGGCATCATTGTTCACTGTGGTAAAGGGCATGGGGGAGGGAGTTATTCGTTTGGGAAATGGGCTATTTTCAAGATCTTGGCAGAGGATTTGGAATATAATATTTTGGTTCAATGACTTGATCACTGGTGTTTTCATATCCCATGGTGACATGTTCATAATTTATCGGTTTTTTTATTATATACTAGAGGCCCTGAATGGCTCACGCACATACAATAGTATAGGATTCCATTGTATGAGTTTATTCCAGTTCTCCTATTGATGGATATGTAGGTTCTACATGTTTTGCTGTGGAAGTAATACCTCTTTAAACATTTAAAAAATATATATTTTATTGACTTTTTACAGAGAGGAAAGAAGAGGGATAGAAGCACCGATGAGAGAAACATGGAGCTATTATATCACCCGAGGACATGTTTATTGATTTTAGAGGAAGGAGGGAAGAAACAACAGTCTGAGAAAGAAACATCTATTGGCAGCATCCCTTACACTCACTGTTTGGGAATCAAACCCACAATCTTTTGGTGTGCGGAATGATGCTTCAATCGAGCCACCTGCCTGGACGGGTTGTATTTTTCTTAATGATAGAGCATTTTTTATGTATGTGATCATCTTATATCTGTAGGTTACATAGCTCTTTGTGGCCTTGTCTTTTCACATGTGGCATTTGACAGCGATTATTTGTTCTTAAAAATTGACTTGAGAGATCAATAAATCAATTTGTGGTTCCATTCACTCAAGCATTCATTGGTTGATTCTTGTATATGCCTTGACTGGGGATGGAACTTGCAACCTGAGCATATTAGGACAACATTCTAACCAACTGAACTAACAGCCAGGGCCTGGAAGAGAATCTTTTGATAGTTTCCTTTATAGTTTATGCTTTTTTTGTATCTTTAGTTAAAAATCCTTCACTCTTCTAAGGTCAGAAAGATCATCTCTTCTAAATAATTTGGCTTCACCTGTAGTCTTTAATTTACCTAGTTTGTTTTTTAATGAGGTATGAGGTGGAAATATTTTTCCTCCCTCATGGGCAGGTTTTGACTCAGTGATGCTTTATTAGTCAGTTCATCCTTTTCTTACTGAGTTGTAATGACAACTCTGTATTGAGTTTTCATAGATCGATGGAGTGCCAGTGTTGTTTAATTCTATAATTAACTTTAATTTTGGGTTATTATATCCTTTCCATATTTAGTTCCTTTATGTTTTTAATGCTTTTTATTTGTCCATTCATTCCACCAGTCAGTGAAGAAATACTTAACTGAATGCCTGCTAATGCCAGACACATTATTAGGCACTAAGATACAGTCATTAAAACAGTCACTGCCTCCTAAATTCCTAGTGGAGGAAAAGCACATAATCAGCACTATCCAGTAAATTGATAACATGTCCAAAGATGACGTAGTACTATGTAGATGTCAAATGAAGGAATGTGTAGAGCGAGTATGGTGTTTCAAAGAGGGGTCAGGAAAGGCCTAGTGGATAAGAAATCTGAAGAATATGGGGATAAATCAGCTGGCAGTCTCTGAGGGAAGAGAATTCCAGGCAAAGGAGGAATATAGGTGCCAGGCTCCGAGGTGGCGCATTCTTGACATACAAGTAGTTTAAATCAACTGAGTTGATAATCTGGAATTAAGTATCTGAAATCTGAAGGGTGAGGCCTCCCTGTTATTGTCTGCTGATTCTCATTTGTGATCAGCCAAAACTGTTCTCTAGATTTGTGTTCTCCAGTCCTGTGTGACATTTGTTGTTTTAAGATTTTTCAGACATCGTGTAGTCAGTTCTGTAATGTGTCAACAGGAGCTGTTTATCACGGCCTTTATTGTTATTCTTCAAAAAATTGATCTTTAAAATGGGTCTTTAAATTTGGTCTGAGTTTCCATCTCATGAGTCTAATGTTCTCTGGTTTCTTATTACATTGCTTTCTTTGCAGCTTAAAACTTTCATTGGCCCTAGACTTTCTGTGTTGTTAACTCATTCTACTTAGAATTTTATCTTCACATGTATCTGCTAAATATTAGTTTCAAACTAAAAATAATATTGTACAGCTAAATCAGTGTGTGGACTCAAATATATTGAAAAAGAGTGAGCAAGGTGCTTTTGTCATGTTTTGTTTTGTTTTGTTTTAGAAATATATTTTACTGATTTTGTACAGAGAGAAAGGGAGAGAGAGAGATAGAAACATCAATGAGAGTCATCGACCAGCTGCCTCTTGCACACCCCCTACTGGGGATATGCCTGCAACCAAGGTACATGCCCTTGACCGGAATCGAACCTGGGACCCTTCAGTCCCCAAGCCGACGCTCTGTCCATTGAGCCAAACGGGTCTCCTTGTCATGTTAATGAGGCATTTTTTGGAAGTAGCTGAGGATGGGGCTGGCTGGTTGCCAATGGAGCCAGTCCTGTGAGAGAGGGTTGGAACTTGCACTCTTACCTCCTGACCTCCAGGAAGGGAAAAGAGGCCAGTGGTCAATGATTTAATGTCATACCTATGGAATGAAGCTTCCATAAACTCCAAAAGGATGGCATTTGGAGCGCTTCCGGTTTGACCTTGTGGAGGTGCTGGGACAGTGATGTACCTAGAGAGGGTGTGGAAGCTTCACACCCCTCTGTGTCCCTTGCCCAATGCTGCTTCATCTGCAGTGCCTGAGTTACATCCTTTTTTAATAATCTAGTAAGATGTTTCTCCGAGTTCTGTGAGCTGCTCTAGCAAATTAATGGAACCCAAGGAGGGGTCCTGGGACCCTCTGATTTATAGCCAAACAGGTACAGACAATCACCTGGACTCGCAGTTGACATCCTGAGTTGGAAAACTCCAGTTTGTAGGTCCTCTGTCAGAAGCCCAGGTTACAACCAAGCCCGGTGACACATTCTCTCTCTGAAATTGGGTCCAGCAAACAATGTAGAAGTTACTCTACCAGAATTGTCAGGCCAGGATACTTCAGTGCCGTGGAGCACTCAGTGGGCTCTGTGCTGTTAAATATTTTGGCTGCTGGAAGAAGAGTGAGTGAGGTAGGTTGGCCAGTTCTCTGACTCGCTTTCTGTATTGCACTTGTTACACCCCAGCAACGCTCTCATTTCCTTCTCAGCGGAAGACAAAGCCAACACCCGCCTCCTCCTCGGCATGTGCTTAGATGCTTATGCTCGCTACCTTCTGTCCTCCAAGCAGCCATCACAGGCACAAAGGATGTACGAAAAAGCTTTGCATATTTCTGAAGAAATACTAGGAGAAAGACACCCGCAGGTAAGAGAGGAAAACAGGTTTCAGAATTTCTGGGATGTAATCAGCAGGTGGTCCTTGGGATGCCTCCTTCTCATGCCCACGTCCATTCATCTCCTACCACTCCCCGCCCCACCCGCTGTTCAGAAAGGATTGAGCCGGCTAGTCACGGACTGGGTCTGCCCAGAGCCCTCCGAGGGAGTGCTGGCTCCCACGGCAGAGCAGCCTTTCCAGAAGTAGGTCTGGCCAGGCACCAGGTGCTTCTGGGCCTCGGTATAGCAGAATAAGGAAGCTGATGTGGGACAGTTTAGCTTCTAAGGATGGTTGCCTTCCTTGCCTAACAGGTGAATGATAGGAAATGGCGGGGAAGAGGGAGGGCACATTAAAAAATTTTTTAAGACTACTGACAGAATTTAAGCAAAGCATGCAAAACTTTCTGTTAGAACACTAAATACATGGAATTGAGTTGAAATCATCTCTGGATCTCTCCTCGATCAAAGTACGTTTGTAGAAGTAACAAGTGGATCACTTTGTGAACGCTTGGTATTGCCAACACAATTTTAACTGGACTGCACATGCCTCAAGGTTGGGTTAGATGAGCAGGGCAAGTTCTTGGGCTATGAATTACCTTCAGGAAAGGAATTTAGGACTTAATTATTGAGTCCCCTTGATGGCGAAGAGGAGGAATTGCCCTAGTACCAACATTTAAAAAAAATTTAATGGTGATCTTTCTGAAGTGGATAATATATTCTATTCTTTTTTTTTCCTTTTTTAAAGAAAAATATTTTTATTGATTTCAGAGAGAAGGGAGAGGGAGAAGGAGACATAGAAACATCGAGAGAAAGTCATCAATTGGCTTTCTCCTACACTTCCCCTACTGGGGACTGAGCCCACAACCCGGGCATGTGCCCTGACCAGGAATCCAACCTTGACCTCCTGGTTGGCTGAGCTATCCCTATTTCTTCTTGAGTCTCAGGGTCACCAGAAGGAATGATATTATGCTACAATGCAGCGCTGGCTTCTTAAGATTGCTGAACCTGCCCTGGACGTGGTAGCTCAGTTGGTTAGAGCCGCGTCCCAGTATGCCGAAGTGACAGGTTCAATCCCCAGTGACGGCACATACAAATACCAACCAGCGAATGTATAAATAACTGGAACAACAAATATATGTTTCTCCCTCTCAAATCAATTTTTAAAAAGATTGCTGGACATTAAATAGCTTCTTTTTGCTATTTTTCATTTGTTTCTAATATAATTAGTTATATTAGTGAATTATATTTATTTTGCTCCTAGTTTCTAGATTTGTGTCATTTTCCAGAGGGTCGAATTAAAGCTGCCCATTACACAGTATGAATAATAAAGGTACCTGTTTATTAGTGGCTAATGCCCCTCCCCTTTTGTGGAATGCTAGGAAAGATGAAATCTTAAGTATACATTTGAAGGTTATCAGACTCCGAATTAACGTTAAATCTCTGTGGGTGGTTTTTTGATAGAAAAAGCTGCCTGTTTGTCTTCCTTGTATAGACCATTGTGCTAATGAGCGACCTGGCTACCACCCTGGATGCACAGGGCCACTTTGATGAGGCCTGTGCTTACGTGCAGAGGGCATGCGACCTGGCAAAGCAAGTAGGACACCCTGAGCTGCACATGGTGCTCAGTAACCTGGCTGCAGTTCTGATGCACAGAGGTAGGAGCTGTGTGGTCTTGGGTTTATAAATCTGTGAAATGCTGCTGAGCGGTGGCAAGGGGCGGTGAGGAAGCCCCACAGTTAAAGGCTGGTTGAATAATACAAGAACGGGTGTATGTTTGGCAGATAGACCATTGTGCTCAACTCACATAACTTCTGTAGTCCTGCACTAGCTTGCTGAGCCACATCAATGCAGAGAGCTTTGCGGTGATAGTGCTTTACAGGTTTCTAAATGTGTTCACATGTACAACTTACTTCGTTCCTCACAGTGTACTTGTGAAGCTGATAAGGGGGAGTGTCAGGGCCTCGCTTAAGATTTCCAGAAGCCGGGATAACAGGTCCCTTTTCCCCAGGAGTGAAGCCCTTGGCCAGTAGAGGAAGGGCCTTTGGGCTGTCCTGGGCGTAGGAGGACCACGGCACACACTGGGCTAGAGCTCTCTACTGCACCGGCCTGTATCCTCACTAGTGCCGTCTCTTCAGAATCACTTTGAAAACATACGTTTTTTTTTCTTATTCTCCCTTCTCTCTGGGTTATTTTAGAACGATATGCACAAGCAAAAGAGATCTACCAGGAAGCACTGAAGCAAGCAGAGCTGAAGAGAGATGAGGTTTCAATACAGCACATCAAGAAAGAATTGGCTGAGTTGTCCAGAAAAAGTAGATCTTCGCCTTAGTTTAATCAAGGTCTGAGTAACTTTTTGTTGTAGCGAATTTCCTAGTACCAGTGGCACCCAAATCAGTGGCTTAAATGAGCAGATTTTTAACCTGTGTGTTGTAAGAATTTTTAAAACATGCAGTACTTGACTGGTCAGGGGCACTGACCTCTTTTTCCTTAGTTTGTCAAATAAAAAAATTACAACAGCCAACACAACAGTAGCTGTCCAATGTGAATAAATCAAAATCATACCTTTTATTTTGTCATATTGGCAAAATACGTATTTTTTTGTGTGCTGCAGAATTTACATAATTAGTTTATGTGCCATAAGAGGAAAAGAGTTGAAAGTCACTGGTTTAAATCCTTCGTCCTTGGTACTCAAGTGTCCTCAGCTTAGCCTCTGTGCAGGACAGGTTAAATACCATTCTGCTTGTATTGTGGTTTGGTTTTGTTTTTTTTACAGGAAAAGCAACTTTTACCCCTGACTTTGACTCTTCTAAAGATGTCAAGTGATGTTTCAGTTGTAGCATATTTAGGTACTCGGTGCTGGTCTAACTGTAGGTTAAGATGGCTCAGTTTCCCCATAAGATGGTGGGTGTGTAATTCACACAGGCATCTCTGTTTTAAGAACAAATCGTGGAGCAGCCACCTTGCCGCAGGTAGGCCCTACCTCATCCGGGGTGCTGACATGTAGGCCCAGCAGAGGAGTCACTGGCCTGGACCCGGCCTTCTGGCTTTGGAATGGGGTCTCAGTGCCCTCATTTGTAAAGTAAGGGACATGGGAGAAGGTATTTGGTCAGATGATCCTAAATGAATAGATTGCTATGTTGAAAGAACTCTTATTTTTCCTCAGTCTAGAAAGTGCAACAGATACTCCTCAACTCCTGATGGGGTTATGCCCTGATGAACCCATCATAAATGGAAAATACCCTAAGTCAAAAACACACTCAGTATGCGCCAGCGGGTGGCTCAGTGGCTGGAGTGTTGTCCCACGCACCCGTTTGTGGATTCTATTCCAGGTCAGGGCACATACCTAGGTTGCAGGTTCCATTCCCAGTTGGGGAGCTTTCAGGAAACATCGAAGTTTCTCTTTCTGTCTCCCTCTCAAATCAATAAATCCTCTGATAAAGGTTTAAACACAAGTATTAAATACCCCTAACCTACTAAATAGCTTACCCAGCCAGCTTCTACTGAGTACCTACCACTTCGTAAAATTGAAAAATTTGTTAAGTTGAACCACTGAAAGCCAGGGACTGTCTGTAAATACAATATACATAGATGGGTGTTTACCTTGCAAAGAGCTGGTGGCCTCGGGGAAGGCAGTTTCTCTTGGCACTGTGAAGGAACACTTGTTACTTGTATGCCTTTGGGGTGGGGTTATGAGTGGGAATAACAAACTTTATCCTTTCAAAATAAATTAGAGACTCTACAACAATATTGTACATATGCTGTAATTTTTGAGTTGCTCATAAAAAGTTGCTTACTGAAAAGCTAATAACAATAAAATACTAAGGTTCAAACCATTAAAGATTTGACTAAAATTAGAACTTTATATTTTGCAGATGTAAGCTTCTCACTTTGTTTAAGCTCATCTATTCTTGACCAGCCAGCTGATTCCTTTAGTTAAGTCTTAACTCAAGATAAAGTGTAGTATAAAGCAGACTAGGTTTCATTATAGCCCATTCTGAATTTATTAATTTTAAAAAATTGTCAACTATTCACCTTCTGCATTAGGAATGTTTTTACCTTTTCACCGTTGCAGGGGTTACTGAAAGTTAGGTTTTTCACCAGGTTTTTTTTTTTTTTTTTAAATATATGTTTGATTTTTTACAGAAAGGAAGGGAGAGGGATAGCGAGCTAGAAATATCGATGAGAGAGAAACATCGCCTAGCTGCCTCCTGCACACCTCCTACTGGGGATGTGCCTGCAACCAATGTACATGCCCTTGACCGGAATCGAACCTGGGACCTTTCAGTCCGCAGACCAACGCTCTACCACTGAGCCAAACTGGTTTCGGCTCACTTCAGGTTTTATTTAAGAATTTTTGATCCTCCACAATGATTCAACTCATAGACCTGGTGCTGGAAAAACTAGTTTTCAGAAAGATAGTCTCTTCCTGTGGGTATTTTCATTCAAGTTCATTTGCACAGTTATAAACAAGGAAGCAAAGCAGGGGACTAATCCCTTTACTGCTCTTGTCATTATAGAGTGTTCAGGGCATGTTTTTATTTTATTTTTTATATGTTTTTATTGACTTCAAAAAGGAAGGGAGAGGGGGAGATAGAAACATCAGTCACAAGAGAACCACTGATCAGCTGCCTCCTGCATGCCCCCTATTGGGGATTGAGAGCCCACAACCTGGGCATGTGCCCTTGACCGGAATCGAACCCGGACCCTTTAGTTTGCGGGCTGACTATCCACTGATCCACACCAGCTAGAGCGTGTGTTTAAAATAGAATCATTCAGCATTCCAAAATGAAAGCTTTACGAAACCTCCCATTACAAACATGCTCTGAAAGTTGCGCTGTCAGAATATTTCCATGGAGGGTATCAGGAAGACCTTACTTTAGTCCTGGTGCTAAGAAATCATGCAAAAGGGTGGAGCTTCAGAACACAGATCTCAGCTTGCAGGGAGCGTTACACCTGGTTTACAGCCAACTTCAAGTCATTGGTCACCCAGTGCCACGGTGGCCCTCCAGATTGCCCCATAGGTGAGGCAGGGAGATTTCTGCACTCTTCTCCAGTGAAGGGGGACGAAGCAAGCACATGCTCTGTGTCAAGGATGGGGTGAGGGATTAGTAGCTGCTCACTTTGGGGTTAGATGGAGCTGCAAAATAATAAGTTAGACTCCAACATATTTCAGAAACTTTTCTGACTTGGAATAGCTTAAGATCCTCAGGATCATAGGGAAATACCATCATAAACTCTTTTGGTTTAGTTGACAATATAAATTATAAATGACATCAGTACCTAAAAAGACAAAAAAGCAGAACACTGTTAAGTAGAACATTTAGTTATTGTTTTCTCATTCACATTAAAATGTGTAAGATATATATTTATAATAAAGTGAAACCAACTTTCCACATAGTAGAAATCTGATCACTAAACCTAATGGAAGGTTCATTTTGAGGCCCTCGGGTATACTAGTACAAGAGGGGACAGCAACGGGTGCAGGCTCACTTCAGGCAGACGCGTCTGTGGCCTGACTGTTGTTTATCTAACTACACGGACGAGGTGGGAACCCGTGTCCGTATCTATAAATAGGGTTGGACAGCAGCGCTACAGGGTGATGTGAAAGTCTTGATCACACATGAAACTCTTCATTACAAAGAAGGTCGTCAGTGGTTATCGGATCTGCTTCTTTAGAGGCTTCAGTACTTGTGTAAAAAGTTGAGGTCTACTTAAGTCTGTGAAGTGCAGATTTCTATCATCCTGAGACTCTATTTCTCCCCTTTGTAACCAGGGGCATCTCCCCAAGCTGCTCAGCATTTATATACTGCAATTCTATGCCTAAGTTGTATGAAAAAATCTTAAAAATTCAAAAAGCAATTATTAATGAAGGAAAAAACTGACCCTCTAGTACCATCATCAGTTTAACATTCAGTTTTACATTATTTGCTCCTTGAAATTCAGTGACGTGAGAACATTCAACGACAAACCCTTGCCCACAGGGAATCAAGTGGGAGGAAGCACTAGCGCCGAGAGAAGGGAAGGACCGTGTGCACTGCTAAGGTCAGCACATGCAGCATAAAGCAATCCAGAGGCCCGCGGTGCTACACAAATCCTCTCTTCGAACTCAGCCATAATACACATCAAACTCAGCACAATGTTTCCTTGGAGACCTGAGAGAGCAAGAGCCTTAAGTCACACCCTACTGTGCCTGTGGAAGGGCGGTCAGATTTATTCAGAAAGGAAAGCTCCAGTGCTCACCCACTGCAGCAACGCGGGGCAGCAGATCCCCGGGGCGCACAGGGCGAGGCGTGCCGCAGTGAGCCTTTGAAGCGTTAAAAACAACAGGAACATACCCATGCAGTCATATTGCTTAAGTGCTGCTAATTAAAAAGTTTCTAAGCCTGCCCTGGAAATTTACAGTATGGCAGCATTTTGTTTCTTCTATCTCGACCTTAACACATTAATATACAGATTTCACGACAGGATCTGTGTTAAAAATCTAAACATTTCCACAAGATTTTAAATATCACCTAGGAACCTGAATTGAGAGGAAACAATCGGATAAAAGTACAATGCCCGTGACAGCCAACGTTACACACTAGGCTGTATGAGGTTGTTTAGAAGGCAAGGGTTAAAAAGATAGACGAGATTTTAAAAAATCACCCCCGAAGTTGATGCTCTGACTTCAACATAAGTACACCAGATACTACAATAGGAAACACTGCAAAAAGATAATCTATTTACAGAAGAGTGATTTAAAGACATTATGGTTTTCTTTACAGATGTAAGAATAAGAATTGTCCGCTTTAAAAAAATTCTACATTCCAACCTTCCACTGTTATTATAATCCACTGAACTGCCTGCATCAAAGGCAATTCTCTCCCATTTGACTCTGCAGTTCCATCATTTCTTCCTTGTCCATGGTCCAGGCTCTCCTGAAAAGTCTCTGGGCATAAGTCATGGGAAAGCAGGATTTTTACCTGCAGTTAAAAATAAAACCACCAAAAACTAGAGACTCTCCTCCACGCACTGCCCCCCCAGGCCCGCTTCTTGAGCTCAGTCATCACTGTCCGACAGCGTCTCGTACTGCGCGGAGAGCAGCGGGGCCGGCTCTCGCTCCCAGAGCCTGTTCTGCTGGTGCGGGGCTGCCTGGCTCACGGAGGCGGCGGCGCACGCGATGGGCGTCGGTGGTGTGCTGCTGAGCATCCGCATAGTCAGGGGGTTATATGGAAACTGAGTTGAGCCTGGCAAGAGAAAAATGGTTTTCATTGTCGTGAGCATAGTTGCTGTTTTCACTCAACTTTCACAGGATGGAGGAGGGATCATACTAAAATGATCTTGTAAAAC